CATTGCAATAGATCAAATTAGAGTTGGGCTAAGCATGCGCTTTAACTTCTTATTCAATTTTCCTTATCAAATTCAAGCAGATCAGAACAAAATCAAAGCGAAAGCAGTTACGACAAAGTAGTTCCGCGCAACACGTGATTCCACACGCGTTGTTGGTTGTGAGTTAGGGTTGGCCGGCCGCACGTCAACATTTTTAACAGTCAAGAGGCGATATATCACACTGATAAATATCGTGCTGTATATACACATATATATAGGATAGCAGCAGCTAGCAAAGATGAGCTGCCCGTCTGCGTCTTCGCTTACATAATTGATTACGACTTTTTCTTTCTTCTTTTTTTTATTGAGGTAATTTACAGTGTCGCGCGATAATTCCTCTAAACACGCTTTCATGACGCACGTTTGTTTTGTAATTGGTTCGCATTGTTGAAGATCGAAATGAATGACGAGGTCGCACTCGGTTATTTTCCAAATGATTGAAATGATCGTCGGTTAAATTACCTCTCGTCAAGCATTATTCGTCTGTCATGTGTCATATATAAATTTGATTATTAAACAAAGTATGTAAGAGACGTCCAGTGAGACAGGCATTTAACACTGTGCAGCTTTCAACGAACCTCATAGATTTTCGAACAACGATTATTGTAGTAAAGGTTTAATTTTGTAAAAAGCTCAAATCTAAATAATTATGAGAATCACTTCATTTTTATGAAATAGTAATGTGCAGAAGAACGTAAGCCAGTCACTCAGGCTTATCCCACGAATTTTGCTCTTCTTGTTTTCAACCTTGTGCGTCGTATTACCCAAGACTTTCTAATGAGAGATGATTCTTTTTATCAGCATCTGTTTTAATCAATCATCATGTAGCGCGATACGAATTTCAAAAAGTCAGCTGATTTCGTTCATTAGAATCCCCATAAATATCCAAAGCCGTTCGATCGTACCAGCAGACAAAATTAAGCAAAAAAATCTCCTAGCTGCCTAGAAACGGAAAGAAAAAAAATACTCAGCCAATTATCATTCCCGTCTCTCTCTCTCTCGCTTGGCTCGCTCAGCTATGCGACCATCAAAAAGCCTAATGGCGACAAATATTAATTAGCTGCGGTCCTCCGGCGCCGTAAATTCCGTAGATCGCAAGCGCTCCGGCCATTCATAAATAAGTGTACGGTATACGATTTCGCGATAACGACCTCGGGACCGCAGAGTAATTAAATGGCCTCGGCAGTTTAACGTCCTCGCGATGGGTTCTCCGGGAGAGGAAATGTTATGCGACTTGGAACTTTCGTGCTATGTAAGACTAGATATAGCCGCGCTGCTTGACGTCTCGTGTCTCTGCAGCCGTTGAAAGCATCAATTCTTCGCCAGATTTATGCAGAGGACTGTGATTCTTTCCTCAATGTCATACCTCACGAATAGCTTAACCATATAGAAATCGACGAGTCGGCAAGAAGAGGAACGGGTCGCGACCCCCGTGGCGATTTCGCGCGCACGTGGCCCTCGTATACATCGAGCGATAAAAGGAATTCGACTCGCGCGCGAGCAGTAAAAAGTGCGTTTTACGAGAGAAAAGAAAATTAACGAAGGCACGAGCGCGAGAAAAGCTCTTTGGCAGTGCGCGCGCGCGCCTTGATCGAGAGTAAAAGTCCTCCCTGCGAGGGCACTTTACGAGGCGACGCAACTTAACGACCTTAGGTGTGCGAGCTCATTTACGTTTTTCGCTCGCCGCCAGCCAATTTCTCATTGGTCAATGAAAAGGTGTTGCTTCGGATGGCTCGGTTCGCCGTTATCGAAGCGTTTTCAAGCTCTAATTGGCCGATCGTTTGCGATCCCTTCAAGAAAATAACGCAAAAAAGAAAGAAAAAAACAGAACGAGATTAACGCCGCGACGTTGTAATTACTTCCCGTCGTCATTAATATCTTCATTTGAGACCGAGGATTTCGTCGGCGCATCTTACCGGCCGGTAACGATCGATCCATCATAAGAGATCGCTTGACGGGTGTGAAAGAGTGAAAGAGGCGTGAAACTCTGATTGCATGCATTTTTCAGGAATTATAAGCGCAACGTAGCGTCGGATCGATCGGCTTCTACAATTTCACAATGCCTTGTGTCCCTCGACAGTTCTTTTTTCCAGCTAATAACTTCATAAAATTTATTCGTTTTTTTCGGCCCTACGCGTTAACTGATGAGATGCATTTATTTCACGCCGCTGGGTGGTAGCGCACACACGTAAGCGATACCGTGGCTCTTATTTTGCAATTTTATCGGCTTCACGACGCGCAACACGTCATTATGCAATTTTTTAAGCGGCTCCTTCCAATGAACGATAACGTATCGTTTTGTAATTTCTGTATTATCGTCATCCTAATTTTTTACAAAACGATCAAAATTATTTTCTAACTATTTAACGTCACATATAAAGATCGCGAGTACTAACGGACTGTTGCGGCGGTTTTCACCTGTCTGCCTCAAAAACCACCAACTCATTAATTGCAACCTCTGTATTTTTTTCCTCGATGATTCCCGACATCAAGTGCGCGTCGGTTACATCTTTCCCAATGCAAATCCACGCGGCAAAGCGGAAATAGCTGGTAATGTCCGCGTGGCCACCTGTTTCGTTTGAGCGGTGCACGGAAATCAAAAAACGGATGTCTGTCGCGTGGGCAGCAGGCCATGTCGCCGCGATTTCCCGCACTTGGAAATTAGGCTCTCTCTGCTCGTCGAAGCGATTAAAGCCACCTTGTCGCTGCTATACTCGAGGCACGCACACGCGCGGGCACTCGACCGTATACACGATGAACTGCAGCCTTTTGATTCTTGGAGATACATGTCACCTTGCAATTACAACTTTTCATTGAATTCAACTAAACTTTGACGTTACGCTTTTCTTCATACCTATTAAATTTATTGTGGAATGTTTCTGGAAAAATTCATTTAGTTTTGCCAGCAATATTAATCTGCCTTTCTAAAAAATCATTTGTCGTTTATTCACAATAAAAACATAGCTGCAGAATAAAATGCAAGTCGGTTGCAAATCAAGACGGTGGAAATCGCGCATCGCACTGGGCATTCCACGAGATCACTCGGTAACCTAGTGCGAGAGATCGGCGGGATCGTCGCGGCGATAAATAGCCAAGTGCCAGCCATAAATATCAGCACAAATCGAGCGTATCAGTAACTCTTGGAAATCGACTCAAAGTTATGCTCGCGTCGTTTTCTAACCGCAAAAGCCAAGAAAAGCATATACGCGAGGCGCTCACTTGCGCGTCACGCTCGACGCCCTTTTGGGGGATATCGGTTGGTGTTTCCTCTCTCTTCAGATTTGAGGGAGCATCCCCCTTGCAAACGTTACGGAACGCCGCTTCCGCAGGTGCGTCAATGGCTTTTTTCGACCCCTTATTTCGCGTCAGGTGCGCGCTGCTCCTACTCGCGCGCCCTTCATTCATAAAGTAACCCCTCGAGAGAGAGAGAGAGAGAGAGAGAGAGAAAGACTGCACTCACGCGTGGGAGAGCGTGACGTTATACAGCAGGTTGTACGTTTTGCTCGTCCCGCGATCGAGGTTTATTTGAATTTGAAATGGCGGAATTGTTTGACTTTGGTTCCTCTTTGATTTCTTTTTGGCTCTGTTGTGTGTGGCTTTTGAATTGGTCGATTGTTTGTCTGAATAGATATTTAGACCTCATCGCGTGCTTATTTCCTTCTTCCTCTCCATTCATTCCGATGAATTGAGGATGTGTTATAATTTGTTTATTCGCCATTGTTGCACACAACAGATTCACATTGAACAAACAAGTGAAATAGTTTAGCATTCTTTCCTCGCTGTTCGCCAATCAGTTGCGCTAATTGTAAAATTGATTATTTATTATACTTAAATTTTCAACATGTTAATATCAGTGATTCACTGTCAAGCTGATGAAAACATTTTATGCATGTAAAAAGTGAGATTTTTTGAAAAATTTCGGAAACCGTCTCTGAGAAGATATTTACAGATAATAAATGAATATTATTTGGATGTAATAAATCTGGAGAAATATCCCAGATAGATCTCACCTTCATACCTGAAAAATTGCTGATCCCAAAAAGGAAAGAAAAAAAAGATTCGAGACAAGAAGGTAACAAATCGCAGTGCTTTGGACCGGGGCCGAAAGTCACGAACTCGGATCGGCAAGGGTGAGTATCATTTTACCGCGAGAATAATGCTCTCTCTCGCTTGGTTTCGCTTCGAGAGCATTACGTTCGCGCGGACGTTTCGCAAGAGGAGTGGTCATTTATTAGCGGTCGCATACATACGTTCCGGTAATGTACGGTTGCCGAATAATGTCAAGGATAACCCGTGCATTACCCACGCGTGTATGTATGTATGTATGTATGTATGTATGTATGTATGTATGTATGTATGTATGTATGTATGTATGTATGTATATACGTTCGGCGTCGGTGGCGGCAGGTGCACGCGCGCAAGTATGCTTGCACGCGGCCGCTTGTACGCTCGCTCGCTCATCGTGCGCCGGATCGAGAAGACAATAACATAAATCTCAACCGAGAAGCCAGACAGAGACTCGCTGGATCTAATCTGAATCGAAAATGAAACACTGCACGGTTCGTGATGTACGTGCACGTAAGATCTCTTTTTCCTGCGCTTTATTGCACATGAGAGATCTCTTCACCCTCGCTCGCTCGTGTGTCTTTGGCATCGATCGTTTCCGAACTTTATTGGCGTTATTTTACGACTTTTCAAAGATATATGCGTCATGCGTTGTTTTTTCTATTGTTGTCGAGTCGCTTTAGTCAATTGTCGAGCATTAACATTTTTATTTTAAGCTGTTATCTTATCATATTTATAAGTGCATTCTTTGAGGAAAGTAATGATAGATTCGCTCAACGCAGCCCCTTTCAGCCGATTATGTTAGTTTTTCATTTTTAATCAGATTTTACGTACAAATACTTTATTTTCCAAATATAAAGACACATTTTTTTATAAATATTTTAGTAATACGCGAATCAGATATAAATAGAAAACATTTTTTGTTGTGATTTACTCTTGTGTCATAACAACGCATACATACGTCTTACTTCAACGGCATTTTTAAGAACTTTTATTTATATAGCCAATCTTTTTTAATCAAATCGCTTCCTTTTTCAGCAATCATAATTGTTGGTGCATTTGTGTTACCTCTTATAACTTGAGGCATGATAGATGCATCAATTACTCTCAATCCATGAATACCACGGACTTTCAATTCGGGATCTACAACAGAATTATTGTCAGTTTTTGGGCCCATTTTACATGTCCCTACCCCGTGTGCTCCTATATCTATATTCATACGCTTTTCTATTAAACATTTAAAATAATCGTCACTATTAAGTTCGTGATTCTGGCAATTCTTTTCCGCAGTCGGTCGCATGAAACCATTAGCTTTCAGTGTTTTAGAATCCATCAATTGAGAAGCAAGCTTCAATCCTTCTATCATCGTTTTTACATCATGAGAATCCGTAAACGGATTTACTTGGATTTCTGGTTGACCGTTTTGAGGATCTATTTTATTGAGCTTTACGTAACCGCGGCTTTTGGGGGTAAGTAGAAATGTTACAATACTGACATTATCGAAGTAAGATCCGATATCGCTCTCTCGTTTTGGAATACCTAATATGCCATACTGAATATCAGCCGTTCCAGGTAGTTTTTCGCATGGCGTCTGGTAGAATGCTGTGATGCTAACAAATTTAGTAAAAGACCATGGACCCTCGTGAGTCGTCATCCAATGGATAAGATCATTCTGACGAGTTTCTACGCTGGTAGATGAAATATTGCCATTGGATGCTCGTAAAGGTTGGGCCATTATCATGTGATCGTGAAAATTTTGTCCCACGGGTAAGTCTTGAATCACCGTAATATTTAAATTTTGTAGATCTTTTATAGGACCAATTCCTGACAGTAGCAATAACTTTGGTGAATCAATCACGCCACCAGAAACTATAACTTCTATTTTTACATATGATTTTCTAGTAATAGTTTGTTTGCCCATCGTTACTTTATATTCAACTCCAATTGCTCGTTTCGCTATTTTATCAAAGATGATTCTTACCGCACGAGCATTCGTTTTGATAATCAGGTTGGATCTGTGGCTTCTAATAGGTCTTATGAAAGCTCCGTTTGAACTTAATCGAGATCCATGAGTATTTGTAAATTGTATTGGAGAAACGCCTATTTGATCACCTTTGTTGTAATCAGTTTCTTCAAATCCAAGCTCTTTAAAAGCATTCAAAAATTTTGACAAGTTTTCATTTTCTGACGGGAATTTTTCAACTGTCAAGTATCCTCCAGTGCCATGATATTGTGAATACTCAGTGCGAATCTGTTGAGTAAGAATATGTACTACAATTTATTAACACTGGACAGTGAGCATATTTATCAAGATTCGATTATGTTAGAAATGTGAAATTTCAATCTGGCGATCAGTAATGAAATGCAATTGACATTATTAACTTGTAACTTACATTAGAATCTCTTGCATTTTCAGATTTTTTGAAGTATGGTAAAACTTCTTTCCAACTCCAGCCATTATTTCCATTCTTTGCCCAACCGTTATAATCTTCTTTACTTCCTCTTACATACCACATGGAATTGATAGAACTTGTACCACCCATGACTTTGCCACGCATGTAATTATAGGGTGGTGTATCATTCGTTCGGTAAGCATAATCGATATTACTATTTATCAATTGTGTAGCAAGTCCGGGCACGCTCGCGGCAAATGGTTCTTCAAAACCGGCTTCTAATAACAACACCTGATAAAAATGATAAAATATCAAGGAAATGCATTCTAAAAGTGAAATACGTTACCTTCCAATTTCTTATTTCACTCAATCTATTAGCGAGAACGCACCCAGCACTCCCCGCTCCCACAATAATAAAATCAAATGTATTTAGATATTTATTCTCATTTTTATTAACTTTTGTGAACAGGTCGTCATAAGATTTGCCAAAATATTTCATCAAGAATGCCAAGAATAGTGCTGTTGATTGACTGCAAGAACCTTTGTAGCAAGTTCCGTTATAACCAGCTGGTATCCAAGTCATTTTAATTTGTTACTTGAAAGTAAAACTTCTTTAGGCTTGGAAATGTTTCCTTTTATAAACATGTCTTACTGATATCTCTCATTTTATCTTAGCAAACAATCTTATATATACTCAGTTGCAAAATGGTTTTTTTGCACAAAAAGAAAATATTTCACGAATAACAACAGTTAGAAAGCTCTGAATGACATTTACATTATTTTATTATCATTTTCGTGAATATTACGTTATTTGATGTTTTATATAAGATTTGAGTTTTTGGAAAGAGGGAGGTAAATGATAAAACTGCATAAATATTTTAAGAATTTTCGCTTCAAGCATACAAGTATATTATTTTATAAAATATTGTTGAATACAAATATTTTGATTGATGAAATACTTTCTTTTCCAGCAATCATTATTGGCGGTGTATTACGTAAATTGGTACATAGCGAATAATTTGTAATGGACCTTATTAGAAAATTAGACAAAACGGGAACATTTTAAAAAGCATATAAGGATATACAACAGTTATTGTCCTTTGTGCATTTTTTATAAAAGAATAATAAAACTAATTAAATATTTTTTGCATCACTGAAAAAAATTAAAATATCGTTATGCACTTGTAATTCATAGTCTATCTTCTTTAATTGAATCACCTCCAGTCGTTCCCGAAGAAATATTGCTAGTGTAGATATATATTGCTATAGTACTATACCTACATCTAGTACTATATAGTATTACCTCCTATAATGCAACGGATCATGGATGCATTAGTTACTCTGAATTTCTTGGAATACTATGTCATTTTAATTTTGAATCTATACTACGGGTATTTTAGTAGAAGTTAAATTATTGTAAAATAAGTTATTTAAATAAATTATCTAATCAAGAAAAAGCGTCGCATCTATTATTCTGTACGCATAGATACGTGTACATTAATATTGTTATAAATTAACTTATTAATTTACCGCAACGTTTCTCGAATTATTAAATATTTTCAAATATGTTAAAACATCTTCCTAGATACAAATATCGTTACCATTTTATGCTCAACAGTTGTAGTCTATCTGTATTTAGTGCTGTTGATTATTTACAAAAATCCTTACAATCTGCGCCGTAACCAGTTGATATCTAATATATGGTTGATTTTCTACCTGAGCTGATGATCTTTTATTTAAGTTCACGTCGTTTGTGTTACTTTGACCAATTTTTTTTCACTTACTATGTGTGTATGTACTGTACGCAGTTCCATATAACGTGCGATTAAAATGGGCAATTCGGTCCTCTATTGATACATATGTTGAACTAATATCTATCTTATAGTTTTTTGCTAGAATAGTCTTTTACATGTAAAGTCACGTTGAGTAATGATTTTTACCTGATTTGGCTTATTTGTTGTGTCTATTTGATTCGCATTGTGTAAAGATGTTTTCAATATGTATTTTGACATGTTAAATTAGAAGTTTTAAGTGCAATCAATTGTTTTTATTTAAAAATAAGCGCATATAACGTTTGTGAGTTTCTTCTTGGTACAGTAATCACTTAAAGCAAGCAGACTTCAAGGCGAGTCCCAATCACTTTCAGGCGAGTGAACCCGCCGAATTGACAGGGGTATGTGTAATAACATTGTGCGAATCGGTCGGGAATGAACTCACCCGCGATTTCCCAGAAGAAGGTTCGATGTCCCTCGATAGCATCTCTGCAGGTGTTTACGCGGCATACGTGAGATGTATCTCGAAAAGCGAGCGAGGTTTTTCGTAGCTTGGTGGAAAAGATCAAAACTAGTAGCATTTTCGCCTTTACATAGCAATCTTGAAAGCGCGTACATTCAGCGGATTCGATAATGTTTTAATTACAGTGCCTTAGCGAGATTGCGCTTTGATCGTTGCAACATCTTTTTCTTATCAAGAAACTGTGCGTAATGAGTATTCCAGCAAGTCTGCGTCGCTGTAGCTGCAACGACAATACGATGAATTCTTATTATTGGCGAGGCCACAACGAAGAGAGATCTCAGATAATATTTATCACGCTCGTGTAAGTATGAATATCCACTCGGAGAAATTTTAACATTTTGCTTCTTTTGCTAGTTGCTCGCGAGTCGCGTTGAGCGCGTTATCTTCGAGGAAAACTTTTGGGAGCCGCGTGTCGCATGTGCGCGATGTGTCGATCACTGCAGACGATCAGACACTGCTAAAATTTCAAGCATTTTATCGTTTATTAAACCTGACTTGAACGGTTTACGTAATTTTTCCAGATTCATTTCATTAAAACCTCACTGCAATATTTATGGAAATAGTCGATGAATTCGGCCTCCGTCTTTGCTTCGTGATTGCTGAAATACATAGTAAATTCACAGGAAGTATAAATGTGAGTGTATATAATGGCCTAAATAGTCGTACGACGATAACCAAAGTAATATTCAGCTTGTAAAAAAAGACGATAATCCCACGTGCCATACAATCGCGGTTAAGATCTGCTCGTGAGCACACGCGAGGGATTTTGCGCGGCGAGACGGAAATCCAACGTTTCAAGTGCTCAGGTGTGCGCGCGCGCGCGCCTGTGCATGGCCTTGCACACTCGAAACCGAAGATAAAAGGCGGGAAGTAAGGGGGTTGGGAGTTTAATTGCCGGCGCGAGAGCGCGGCCACATGGAAAGCCTAATTATCTTTGTGTTTATCGTCACGGCCTCCACGCGTCCGCGCGCGCTCGCTTGCGCGATCGATGAACGATCGACGTATTCATTTTTCAACGGAGCCGATGTTGCATACGACTGCGCCAGCCGAGGCACGTTAAGTGGCGTCGGTTTTACGATTATTAAACGTTCATCTATACGCCTTCGCGCTTTTATAGGCTGTTTTACGGGTTCGCTAATTGTTAGGCTTAATTTGCCGTCGTCGTAAATAATTTCGGGACCCCGCAAACTTAATTGATTTTGCTCGGAGAGGATATGTTTTCATTGGCTTTCATTGGCGCGCCTCGTAAAAGCACATTATTATTATAATGTGGCACGATGGTCCCGAAACAGCTCGACGAGCGTGTGTGTCAATCGACTGCGAGTATTGCTTACATCAGACTTTGACAGTGAAGCAGATTGAAAATGCCTTTTCGACGGCTATTCAGGTTGCGCGTTAGGAGTGAAAAGTCGTCTTTGAAAAAACTGTCCTCCAGCAGCCTCCTCAGGATGGATTTTAGTTAAGTTAATCTGGATAAATGAAGCGGCGCGGTAAATAAACAAGCCAGCAGCAAGCCCTCCTCGAAAAAAACTCCAACTTTAATCTCCCGTTCGACATTAAGGCCTCTACCGCAAAAAAGAAAAGAAAACGACGCTGCGCACTATCGCACGAAGCTTGGCTTGTGGAGGCATCCGTCGGGGGTCAGCACGCGACCCGGGACGAACCGGCTGTTTTTATTTGATCGTCCCTCGGCGTGGCGCGGCGCATTTATCTCGTATGACCCCGTAGACGGGAAGTTCTCTGGCATCATCATCAGCAAGGGGTCTCTTATCATAAACTTCGTTTTGAAACTCGGCGGTAAAAAGCACGGAAAAGAGGAAAAATAATAATAACAGAAGTGTACGTTTCGATTGGATTCATCGCAGTGTGTTGGCCCAGTGGAGCGGACACCCGGAGGAAGCACGGGCGGCGCGTGCTTGCAACGCTCCGTAAGTTCGGCAGGGGAACTGCGCACCATCTAGCCGGAACAACCAATCTGCATCCCTCATTATGCCACGCGCGAACCAGAGAAACGTATGCGGAGACGCGCGCAAGCAGCGCGTATAAAGACAACGATCGCAGACGCTTGATAGCAAAAAAAAACAGAAGAACGTTTGCAGCTGCTACTGATCTTTTCGTTTGGTATTTTCCGAAGCTTTACTCCTAGGCTTTCTTTGCTTATTTCAATTAGCGACAATGACCAAGTCGACCGTAGCCAAGCCTCTTTTGCCGATAATATCAATTAATCGTGCGAGACGATGTTCTGACGCGCGATCGAGTTATTAGCGTGCCGATCGTTTTAAGAGACTAAACGTTGTGTTTGACGTCAGATGCGTGCGCACATTGTTTTTTTCATCCGTCTACATTATAACGAGCAGAAATTTTCAGCGCGTTGCTGGATTGTTAAATGGAGTCGCGCGCACGAGTTTAGTAAACTGCCGGCTTCAATGGGAAATTCTAAGATACGTTTTTTCCTCGACTCAAGTTTTAAATATTCAAAATATTTTTGCAACTCGAAAACGTCTTTAAGAGAACAAGTAAGAAGACAAAAAAGAACGTTGTCTCTCGCAGCGATTCCACGAAGAATTTCTTTGTTCCCTTGAATTGTTCAAATACCTGTACAGCAGCTGAAACTCCAGCAGCTCAAAAGAGAGAAAGAGAGAGAGAGAGAGAGAGAGAGAGAGAGAGAGCAGAAGAAGCGCTGATTTCGGTGTATATAAATCTGTTTGTCGTGTGCACTGTCTACTGTAATGAGCAAACAGTGTTATCTTGCGCGAGAGAGCAAGACAAAAGGCGCGTCGCTCAATGTTGCACCTTTCATTTCGAGCGCACGCGCAGGAAGTTAACGAGCGCGTCGCCATCGTTGGACTTTTGGAGGGTGCGTTCGAAGCGTGGAACTAACTGAGTCTTGAGACTTGATACGGCTGAAACGTTAATAATTAAGTTGGAATTAAAGACGCTTGGGGAGAGGTTAAAAAAAAACTGCATTTTTGTTAGTTTGCGCAAAATCGTTCTGGATATTTGACATGCTCTGTGTATGCATTTACAAGTTGATAAAGAAAAACTAGAAAGATTGTTTAATGGACGTTCGTATGACAAAAGAGCCGTACTTCACCATTCTTATTGCGTACTTCCTGTTCGCGGGCCAAGTTTAGATCCAGATTAGCAAGCATGAGTGGCTGGATCGCTTAGGATATTATCACTTGGCAGTCCGAAATGATCCGAGGTATTTGGATTTTTCTACATAGGCGATTCACTTTTAGATATAGACAAACTCTTGTCAATGAGGAAGCTATTGACACAAGATAA